TATAAAGCGCAGACCCGAAGGAGTTTCAAATGCAAGGTTGAAGAGTCATTGGGAAAAAAGAAAGCCGAAGAGGAAGAAAGCTGAGGAACAACCAACACCTTCTACTCATCAGCCTACACCAGTGGAACATAGTAGTCAAGTATCTTTTGCAAATATACCAGAATTCTTCACTTTATCTCATCAGCCTACACCAGCGGAACCTAGTAGCCAAGTTTCTTTTGCAAACATTCCAGATTATTTTACTTCAACACATCAGCCAACACATGTGGAACCTATTAGTCATATTCCCTTTTCGAACATACCAGAATGCTTCACCGATGAGTGGCTTATTCGTTGACCAACCAGTCAGCCCAACCCTGAATATTTAAACATGATGAATGGATTTATTGATGCTGAAAGGCTTGGATAAATATTCAGAATTTCCCATTTGTTTTTATTTGATTTCAGTCATTATTGTAGTTGATATCTTATTGTAGAAACTTCGTCGTTTTTTTATCGGTGCCGATCTTCTAAGTAACTGTCAGTACCAGTCGGTATTAGCATTTTTTGTACCTACCGACCTCTCGGTACCGATCGGTATCGGCAGGTACCTTTTAAGTACCGGTTCCAATCGATACCGCCGAGTACCGAGCAATACAATGTCCTGGTGCTTCAACGTAACGTTATTGTTGTGGGTTCATATTTACTATATTTGCTGAAATTAAATTGGGCAGTTGTACTGTTGCAGGTATTTAAGATGGGTGGTTGTGGTATTAACTGTGGTAGTTAGAATTTAAAGATATATAAGTTTAGGAAGTCCATGGTTTTTGTTATAGTTCTTTCATGGTTTATAAACTTCAGTGGCCGGATGCCAAGCTTCATCTCGGCTTGCCGATCAAGGAATTTGTCGAGCTTGGCACAATTAGAATGCATTACTGCGTGGATGTTGCTGTAGAATGTGAACTTGAACAGCAAGCAAGACGGAATGAAATATGTAGATGCTGTGTTCATACATGGCATGATCGTTGTGATAGTTTGCTTAAAGTGACATGGAGGGAGGAGATTGCTATCGAGGAAAACCGATCAGGTCGGTTCTTAAATTCTACGGGGTGGAGAGCTGTCCAAAAGAATTTTTTTGCAAATTATCATCACCTAGCAAGTGCTCATTTCCTGCAGCAGCGTTATCATGAGCTGACTTGTAAAGGGGAATTAACAACCTTTGATTATGTGGTCAGACGAGCTTCTGATGTTGATAATATAATTCTTTATTACCCGTGGGATCCAGCAATAGATAGGTTTTTAATTGATTTGTATCAGCAATTACTAAATGAACATGTTTATGGTCGCAAAAGGAAGATGTTTTTGGATATCAAAGATTGACAAGATTTACAGTTTGAGTTACTGATAGAATTTGGATGTTGTCCTACACAAACGCAACTCGAACAACATGTTCGCTGTCTAGTTAAGAAGTAAAACAACTAAAATGTACTGACATATTTACCAATTTATAATGTTCTATCTATTTACATTTTACAACTGCAGCAATACTATCGTTTCAACGTGGAACATAACAAGATAAATGCAAGTTCTGCTCTAAACTTAGGCATTTCAGCTTGCAAGTTCATTAGTAAATCTCATTTAAGAGAGTTAGGTTGAATAACATTTTTCATATATTTGCAAACGAACATCCCAAAAGTCATAACCGTTGGTTTGTGTTGGAACTCCCTCGGCTTCCAGAACTTTCCATGATCTGATATCAGTTTGAAAGCAGCCCTAAGTTTCCTCGTGTAAGTGATTAATCTGTAATCATATTTAAGTAAAATTAACGTTAATTTTACAATACGAATGTGTACAGCACACTTAAAATGTACAGCACCCGACTAACCACTAGTGGAAGCACAGCCCGATGCATGGGGTTAGGTAACGAATCAAAAAAATACCAAGTTGACTGCTTCAAATAAGATACCATAAGAGTCCAATGTTCATTATCATTTACTGGTAGTAGCAGGAAGTTAGAAGCGGTAACTGCATCTTTGTTAATGTGCGACACGTACTGCTTATTTTCCATATCATATTTCTTGGATCCCTGTGTGTGTATTTGGGTTAGGATAACTTTAAACATATTCAGTTATAGCAAGAAAAATAACACCATTACCCAATGCAGACTAGAAACATAAATAAATGGTTCATAAAGGCCAGGACGAAGTTTATTTTTCTCAGCCAGCAAACTAGCGAAGGCATCGATGTGGTTGTCGTCCAGATATTGGTTTGTTAATAGTTCATCGATCTGACTTCTAAAAATCTGGATGTTTCATGCAGTATAAATTGTATCTGACCTGCAAAATAAAAGCCGGTGTGTTAAAATATGAAGTGTACCTACCGGTACCTAATCGGTACCAGAATGCTTTTACAGATAATTTGCAATGTTACATACTTACATATCAGTATATTTCTCAAGGCAAGCGTCGATAAACATCCTCATATCATCACTTATCATTTGTCGACCAGGATAATCTATTTTGGTAGGAGCTGGCCTTGGTCTTGGTGATTTTTGACTTTCAACTTCAACCAGAGCATTTGTAAGATCAACCTTAGTTGGGGAGGGCCTAGCAGCAGCTTTTTTTAACACATTCCTCTTATATTGACCCTTGGTGTATTGTGTCTTAACCTCTTTAGCTTTACGGTCAGCCCGACGTCTCACACGTTTGGCTATACCTGAGCTGCTTGGTTCAGGTTTGGCAACATCATCCTTTATTGGCTTTCAAACTGACATTCGACAATAACCTCTGCACACTCTACCTTCTTCATTTCATCAGTCATAGTCCTGGATGAAGATTGAACATGAACTGATGCAGTTGAGGAAGAGTTGAATGAAGGGAAGTTCTCAGATAAGAACTTATTTATTGCTTCCAATCTCTTATTCATCTCCCTCTGCTCAAAAACATAATGTTCAAGAGCCTCCATTCTTCGTTCATTCAGAGACATTGTTGTTTCCAAGGTTATTAACATACTTTTCAAAAATCTATTTTGATTTAAAACCTTCTCTAAATATTCAACTCTATAATTCTGCTGTCCTTCAGGTGGAGGAGTAGGTTGCTGCTGCTGCTGCTGCTGAACTGGGCTTGGGGGTGGGGTGTTTTGTCTTAGAGGACTCTAGGGTTTAGGTGATGTTGGAGGTGTAGAAAGATGTTCATGAGGTTTGTGCAAGATGATCTCTTTGTTAGGAACTTTGTAAGGTGATGTCTGTGGGGTCTGTGGGAGAGGATTTACTAATAAAGCCATCTACTCAGTTGTAATAGCATCAAAAAAAGTTAATAAATGACCAACTTCAATACCATCGAATAAACTAGATGCATCTGCGTCGTTATAAACTACATCGGATCCCCAGCAGAGAAACCTTGGTCTTGACTTTGAATTCAATGGTTCGTGGAGTGTATAATATTCTAGAAACCATATCTGAATTCATCCATAAGAATATCAACTTAAAATATATCTAACAATAATCAACATCATCAATTAAAACAAAATAATTTAAATTCAATGCACTCACAATTATAATATGAACAAATCCATTCAAGTAATCAAGTGGTTGTCCTTTCTTCATCTTTTTTGCAATGGCGTTAAAGTCAGCAACAAGGAATTCTCTGATTGAATCCGGCCAATTGTACGATAAAAAATTGTCAACATTTCGAGCCACACTGATGATAGAGGCTAGTGTTCGATAGTTGTGCAGAGGAAAAAATAGGCTTGACAACAAAAATATGATGAATTTCTTCAAAACATCAGGCATTGCCGTAGATTCATCTAAACTAATCACCTCTTTCCTAATATCATTGGCTGATTTACCCGTTATTCTAGCACTACCAAATTCAAAATTGTTGCCTCTGTTTTGTAATCCTAAAATCATAGCAACTTCATCGGCAGTGAATAGTAACTTCTGATCCTTAATGAGAAAGCATTGTTTCTTACTGTCCCAGCAGGACAACTTGTAAACCAACGGAACATTCTGCACTAAACGTGACATATAAAGAAAATGATGCATATTATATTGCTTCAAACTCTCAACCAGGTTCTCGCCAAATATTTCCATTAAATGATCACATACTTCTCTGAAGGTTGACGTTCTGCAATGGAAGCTAATCTTCGGCACATATCCCTGCGTTATTGATTAGGATAAATTTAATTCCAGTCCGGTACATCTACGAACCGGTCAGGAACCGATGGGTACCAATTGGTATCTAGAGGTACCGAGTGGTACCGAGCGAAACCAGGAAAAAAATTACAATACAACTCGCTACCGACGGGAGTCCATGGAATGCGGTAAAATAAAGAATAAACTCTAAAAACAAACCCTAGATCTACAATGACTTATAGAATTTAGAATGCTTACAGAAATATCCCAGCTTAATCTGGTAGGTACCGCTGGGTACACATTCAGATAACGCAGCGGTACCCACCGGTACCCAACGGTACCGAGCGGTACATTTTGTCACACAACTTAACGGGCAAATGGCATTCACAACATCTTTCAAACCAAACCCTAAAAGCTCAAAAATATCGAAAAATACATAAAACTCAAGAAAAACAAACCTTTCCCATTGCCACGATGAAGCTCAGCAGGCTTAGCGTGGAAGATGAAGTTGCTTCGTTCGAAAAATACAACCTGCAACTTCTCCTTGTGGAAGATGGACTGTAATCTAGCAAATCGCCCGAAAAAAAAAGCAGGAAGCGACGTTTCGGATGTTCTCGAAGATATGTTAACCACACATTTTTTGAAGAAGTTCGGATGGTTCGTGTTATCGGGTTATCGGGTAAACAGAGCACATGCTCTCCTCATTACGGTGAGGTCAAGGTGGGCTCCACGTGGCGCGATATTACTTGTTTGCATACACAGAGCTACGTCTGCACTCCGCACTCAATAACCTCTCCTAAATAACGCCATGGATAAATCATCTAACCTTTTCCTCCTTTTTTTTCAAGGAACAAAAATATCTCATTTTTATTTTATCCGAACGGATGTACGGAGTGAACGATGGATCGATGGAGACGGCGATTATCTTCGTATTTCCTTAGCGTAGAAATTCGCGATTTTTATGCAAGCTGATTTGGTAGGTTTAGGGCTAGGATTTTGGTTGCTGTGATAGATGGGCGCCGGGGCATCGAGCATTTTGGGGACGGAGGGGGACGGAGCGCACGAGACGGGGCTTGGTGACCTTCCGGAGAGCTGTATTGCAGAGGTGATGCTCCGCCTCGATCCGCCAGAGATTTGCAGGCTGGCGCGTCTAAGCCGGACATTCAGGGGAGCTGCTTCAGGAGACTTTGTGTGGGAGACGAAGCTTCCGAAAAATTACACTTATTTATTGGAGAAAGCTTTTGGTGTGAAGGGGCGCGAGGTTTTACGGGATCGAAAGGAGATCTATGCAAGGCTCTGCCGCCGGAATCCCTTTGATGGGGGAACCAAGGTATTAATTACATAGGAAGTACCTTCGATAGTTCGATTTGTTAGTGTCAGTATCTGGTTTTAGAGTTATGAATATATGATTTATCGGGAAACATTGATTTTCTTTTTTCCACGATTTGGTGGAGCGGCCTCGGTCATAGTTTTTGACGAAAGAGGGAATTGTTTTTTTTTATCTCTTCTTGCTTTTGTCTTTGTGATACCCTGAAGAGAAGGAATGGAGTTAAATTTTTTATTTTTTATTTACTATTTATTTTTTGTTGAAATCAATGTTAGAATATGGAGAGCTTATTGAATTTAACATAGTTTTTTCTGTTTTTCGCCTGCAGGAATTCTGGCTTGAGAAGTACAAGGGTAGGCTTTGCATGTCCATTTCTTCAAAGGTGTTGTTGATTACTGGAATGGATGATCGAAGATACTGGAATTATATTCCGAGTAAGGAATCAAGGTAATTTTTTTCCTGTTGTTTAATTATATGCCCAAGTGAACTAGAGTTTCATGTTTAATTTTCTAGTTTCTTAAGATTGTGTTAATATTCCTTGTGAAGCTTTTGTTTTTAGTGGGGTTGCATATTTGTAATTGAGTATTTTGTACTTTTTTCTTTCAAGTTTCAGTTTCTCTTCCCTTTTTTTTCCCATAATTTTAGCATGCTTGCTATCAAAAGTTGAAAATACAGAATTGCATGCAGAATAACTTGTTGGTTCCTTTTAGTTTTTTCCTGCTTGTCCAAAGTCCAAATGTACTAGTGGATTTGTTTCCCTTTGCCATCCTAACTTCTGATTTTGACATGAAATTATGTTTGTGTGTTATGACACAAGCTGAGGATTAGGTTATATTGCACCTGTCTTTCCTGGATGTGCTTGTTAAGTTTGTTTATAAAGCATGAGCTTGTTTCTGGAGGTTTCTAAGAAGATTGCATTGTCTGAACCTTCTGTTACTTGTGACTTAAGATTACATTTAAAGTGTTTTAGTTCTTCTTCTTTCCAATTGCTGCTCCTGATTTGATAAGTTTTGTTGTGTTTTTGTTCGAACTCGTTAATGAATGTAGCAGAAGATACCATTTCTTCCTTTCTTTAGGAAGTGAAAACAATATGTCCTCAGTGACTGTAGTAGCATTGTGCCATTTTTGCATGCATCATATTATGAATCTTTTTGACATCTACAATTATATTAGTAGTATTATGGAGATGCTTAAAAATGATATTCAAAGTGAGGTGTCTTAGTTTATATTATTCCCAAACAAAACAGCTCTAAAGAAATTTGTTGAAATAGGTGGAGACTTGTAACAATGGAGAAAATAGTTAGAAGATAGATAACTTATAATTATTAGAGACTAATTATATGATATAAATACTTTTATTGCATTTGGTTGAATCGATTATTAGTCTATATTATAAGAAGATAATATACCATCTTGATGTGATAGGATTAAGTATTTTTGTTCTATTATATAGAAGAGTTGGGCAAGGTTTAAAATTGCGTAAATAAGCCTCGAGGTGGTTTTCGTCCGTGAGGCGAGGCGGTCTGAGGCGTAAGCTTCACGGACACAGAATTGCGTAAATGAAAAATTAAGGGTTTTAGCAGGAAAATAATAGCAATATTGTATCTTACAATAAAAACATCTAAATGATATATGAAAATAGTGGAAAGTAAGAAAGTAGATGCAATAAAATCATGTCCCAAAGTATAAAATTACAAAATATTAGTTTAATAAAATGACATATGACATATTTTTAACACTAGTCATACTAACAATATGATATATTTTTAACAATTATTTGTACTACCAATAATAAAAAAACATGAATACAAAAATATACCAGTCTGCCGGGGGTCCAAGGGGACGCTGCCTCCTGGCGGGGTTCGACCTACCCGGTCAGTATCGAGCATATACCGCTCAGTACCGAGCGGTACTGGTTCGGTACCGAGCAGTACCGAGCAGTACCGAGCATGTACAGCTCAGTACTGAGCATGTACCGCTCAGTACCGAGCATGTACCCCTCAGTACCGCTCTGTACCGAGCATGTACCGCTCAGTATCAAGCATTTACCGCTACGCTCTAATGCGTACGCCTCACCCATAATTGTGCAATTGAGGCGCACCTCACACAGAGTGAGGCGTACGCCTCAATCAGTGTCCAAATTGCGTGCGCCTCGAGGCGCTTTTGGACAGAATTGCGCAGAGGCGCGCCTCTTATTGCGCAATTTTAAACAGAGGAGTTGGGATATTGATGAGGATATGTTTCTAGAGTTAAGGTTGGGTGATTAACATAGTGTATTGTCTCAGGATTATAATATTTTAAGAGGATATCATCTGACCTAAGGTACTTTTCTTAAAACTGCAATTAGCTTATATGTGTTTTATGGATCCAAGTGCTGAGTAGTAAAGAAGTTGTTGATAGTTAAGTTGAATACATTGGAGATAAAATGTTATGATTGAATTTTGGTAAAATTAGATAGGATAAATTAAAAAGATTTTATTAGAGGGTGTTGGTTTTTTTTTTTTTTTTGTCGGGGTGGGTGGTGGGGGGGTGACCCGCAGCGGGGCCTACGCATTAATAAAAAGGAAAGGTACAAGGTACTTAAAGGGGACATTCAACTCACTAATGCTCGTTAGAGCTACAGATGTAAAGAAAATCCTAAGAGCCGATTGTCCCCTATACTACGATTTACAAAATCTCCTAATAACATTCTAAGGCTGCAAGATAGAGGGATTGTTGGAATAAGCATCTATTGAATATAAGATTAGGCTTTGGTGGTTATGCCATGTAAATTGAAGGGTAGAAAAATGCACCAATTGGATGGGCTAATAAAATCATGTCAGAAGGATGAGAAGGAAAAGAGATTGATGGTGGACCTAAGTTAGCATGGATAGATGATATGAAGAATAAGTTTAATGCTATAAGCCGCACTACCTCTATTTTTAATGTACTACTTGAAACATATGGACTCTAAAATTCTTCAAGTGTTTGGTTCCTCTGTGACAGTTTTATTTTTATTTTTTTCATCTTTTATTCATTTTGTAGGGAATGTTATGAAGTTTTGTTGATTTTTTTCCTTGAAGCACTTTTATTACTCACCCTGTCTTTACAAAGCCAAAGCTTAAATGGAATTAGATTTCTCTGCAAATGGTTTGCTTTTGGTTGCTAATTCGCATGAAAATATATAATTAATTTTCTAGGGAAGAATGTGCTAGTAATCAGATTTTCTGGTCTGACTTTTTTTGTCTTCCATTGATCATTTTGTGTTTGCTGTGTAGGAAGTGTCAGGTAAGTTGATTTATTTATGGGCTTTGAATGCTGTTATACTGCACTCTGTCATCCCAAAGCCAAAGATTCAATGATAATTCGTTATCTCTGCAAATTTTTTTTTTTGTTTGACTTCTTTTTACAAAAACAGATAAATAATTATCCAGGAAAGAATGTTCTAATAGTCAGATTTTGGAGAAATTATTCTGTGTGGAGTCCAGACGTCGAACGCCGTCCGAAGACCAACCATAATGCGCCAGGTCAGCGGTACTGAGCTGTGGTACCGAATGGTATTGAGCATTACCTAGCCGCGTTACCGAGCGAAGGGGTGACATGGCGTATTCTAGTTAGTCTCTGGACGGCGTTCGGCTTCCGCATAGAAAAAAAATCCAAATTTTGGGCATTGCGTTGTTTGAATTATTTGTTGAACCATCAAATTATCTAGCTGACCTTTGTTCTGATGTATGAACATGTTTATGTTGAATGTTTCCTACATTTTATCATTGTGATAGTAAATGTTTTATTGATTCTGTAGTTCTTGAGTTTTAAAGGAGTTTTTAACTTGATATTCTAAGATTAAAAAACTGTCTAGACAAGCTCTTGTTTAAGGATTTTTTATTTTATTTTATTTTTATTTTTTTTAATTTTTTTATGTAAGCATTCATAAGCCAATCCTAGTTCCTTAGTATTGACTGCTGATAGGAAGAAATTATAGTTTTATTTTTGTAGCTTTTTTAGAAGTGGTATATGAGGCTTTCTCTCCTATTCCAATTATTTTCTTCACTCAGCGGTCAGATTAAGTGCAAGCTTGATTTACTTAGACCATTCCGTCTATAATATCTACGATGTGACTAAATAATGTGAAATTCTACAGTTAAATTTGTTGGTGGATTCAACTTGGAGGGGCCTGGGTTATCTTGATTTCATATAACATGAATTTAATCTTTCTAGAATTATCTTTATTCAACATTTTCCGTTACTGTAGTTCTCAGTTTTGGAATAATTTACACCTTCTATTTGGTACAGAGGAATGGAACTTTTCATTGCTGATGAAATATCATTTCTTTGTGTTCATCTTTAACTCTTAATGATGTTACTTTAAACTTTCATTTGTCCTTTGTTCCATCTTATCATGGTAACTACATATGCCCATACTATTTTGAGCAGTTATAGTTGTTTTCCTACATGCTAGTTTATGAAATCAACGTAACTGGATTTGGCTTCACAATGTATGGACTGGCTTTTGCAGTGGTTTAGTTAAAGATTTAAAAGAAAGTACCGCAAATACTAGAAATTTCCTCTTCTTTGTATCACTTGTTTGCTTTGCATCTATTCAGTAATCTAGGGGTGTAAGTGAGCTGAGTCGGCTCGAGCTTGTTTAGTAAACAAGCTAAAGTTCTAGCTTGAGTTGGCTCGGCTCGTGAGCTTACGAGCTGGCTCGAATAAATATTAATATTTTTAAAATAATTTGATTTTATTTATTAAATTTAAATATTAAGAAAAATTAATATTTTTTTTATAAATTTTGACTAAGTTTTAAAAATCCCGCCTAATTTTTTAAAAATCCTGTCTAAATTTAAAAATTCCCGCCCATGGCTGGCAAGCCGGCACGAGCTCGTTTACAGTGAGACAAGCTCGAGTTCGAGCTCGATTTTCAATTAACGAGCTGAGCTCGATAAGGGCCTGATCTCAACTCAACTCGACTCGTTTATACCCCTACAGTAATCTAATGTCAGCTCTTTGGGGTCGCTGGCTTGGCCAACTTCTGATTTTACTTTTAGATATATCACTGCTGTTATAGCTCATTGCAGTTATACATCTTTCTTAAGTTTGGCGTTTCCTTTTCAGTCGTTTTGGGTGAATCTGCAAACTTGGCAAGGTAATTGTAAAACAAGAGGAAGCTCATTCCTTTTTTTCGCCCCATGCAGATTCCACGTTGTAGCCTATCTTCAGCAGATTTGGTGGTTTGAGGTGAATGGTGAAATCGAGTTCAACTTCCCACCTGGCATATACAGCCTATACTTTCGCCTTCATCTGGGACGAGCCACTCGGCGACTTGGTCATCGGATTTGCAGTACCGAGCACGTCCATGGATGGAACATCAAACCGGTCCGTTTCCAGTTGTGGACATCGGATGGCCAGCACGCCTTGTGTCATTGCAATCTTAATGAACCAGGATACTGGATAAGATACCACGTAGGCGATTTTATCGTAGAAAGCGCAGAAGTCGCAACCAAGGTGAAGTTTTCAATGAAACAAATTGACTGCACGCACACAAAAGGGGGTCTCTGTGTGGATTCTGTGTTCATATGTCCTAAGGGGTTCAGACAGGGAAAGGTTTTTCCGCCTTCTTAGTTTTGCGGGATAGCTTAGCCATAAAAAAAATAGTATAACAGGCACAAATATAGAAGATAGGTTTTCTTTTTTCAACTTTCTTTCTCTTTCTCCCATCTGAGTTGAGTTGTGTGATGGGAGCTGTCTGTTCTCTTCTATGAATTCTGATTTGGTTGAAAATGCTCAAGTTGTAGCTTCTAATGTCTTGGTCGTTCATGTATGTTGACAAACTAATACATGTTATTATTGGATTGCAGATAGTTTTTGTTCTCGTGTTTTACTGATGGGCTATTTGGTTGCCTGAAAAAGAAATGCAGTGTAAAGTAAATGTGATGTAAAATAAATGTAATGTAAAATAAATGTAATGCATTCTGAATATTTTGAGTCTGTTTGGTTGTCTGTAAAATAAACGCAGGAGAATTATTTTCCTTATTTGGTTGGGTATATCCAGAATAAAGTAAAAGTATTTTTTTAATAATTTATTTTGACATTAAAATAAGTATATTTATAAAAGCAGTGTATTTATAATAATTAATATTATTTGGTGTTATAAATTTTTTTTTATTTAATTCAATTTATTTAAACCTAAATTGATTTAAGGTAAGATATATTTCAATTAATTTAAAATAAATCAAGCTTAATTCAGTTTGGATAAAAAAATTATTATTATTAGAAATAATCTTTATTTATTTCATAATAAATCAATCTTCATCCATCTTGCTATAGATTCTGATCAACTGCAACTTATCAAAGCTCCAAATAGCAAGACTATAGCGGCTATTATGACTTACGAGGAGTTATTCCCAAGTGCAGCTGAGCCCTACCCCTTGGCTTACAAAAACTGCAACTTAATCCCTGAGACAAACTGTTTTGGCGGCGGCTTATGCGAAACACCATACCAACGAAGCATTGGCTTCATTGAAGGGGGCTCTCTTCATCTACCAGCTCCCCTTAGGATGCAAAATTGAGGAAAACATAAAATGCACCGAAAATTTGTCTTGTATCTGTTATTAGAGTGACAAAGAAGCTTTATCATCGTTGCAGGGCATTCTTGGGAACATTGGGATAGTTCTATTGTGGAAATTCAAGCTGTTTTGTTCTTCAGAACCCTCATTCAACCCTGAATGTATGAAATAAAAAGCATTTTCATTGAGGGGGATAATCATTGTGTTATCAATTGCCTTTGTCAAAACCTTCAATAAGGGGCAAGCCATCCCCAACTCCCCTATTCTCTGAACTTCAGTTTTTGCTCCATTTTCACCAAGTAATATTTCATCATACACCAAGGCAATGCAACAAAGTTATAGATTTTTGTGCACGGCTTGTTACTAATTATAATTTTATATGGGAAAAAGATTATAATGAAAATCATCCTTCTTTTTTTTGTTTTGCAGAGGGAAAATACAGATAATGTTGTACAAATATATTTGTATTTTATTTTTTTTACTTATAGAAATGCAACATGCACTTATCAAAAGAAAAAAAAATGGAGCAAACATGGCTCGAATGTGTGGGAGTTGAGAAGGTGAATGATGGATTGAATGCTGTGAAATTACAAACTGTTGAGCACATTATGTGCTGCAATAAATAATATGATTCTCAATCATAACATGTAAACAACATTAATAAAAATGTACAATTAAAAATAAAAGATAAAAATATACCCATAGTTCGTAGTTATAATTACAACAAATTAACATGAAACAATTTATAGCGATAACAACTTTAATAGATATGTCAATCTTGAACAACTTAAATCAGTTTCCTAACTCTTTACGCATCAATCTAGCCTTCAAATCTATAGGTTTTGAAAGGAAAGATAGTATCAGTGTGAGATTTTTTGATAAATTATCATACATCATATCAACCTCTTCATCTGAGAATCCAGGAATATTTGTTAACTCAAATATCAGTTCATTATATATATTTCGAATTTGATTTGGAGATATTATTGAGCTCTTGATAGCGTTAGCAACTTCATTCACACTATCAGCCATCAAACAAATACACTCACGGATATTTTGATTGATAGCTGATGTCTTAGACTTCCTTTTTACGCCACCTCCTATACCAGATGAAGGCAGCAGTTTCTTTGTTGTTCCAGTATAATCTTTTATAACTAGCATATCAGACCACTTAGTAGGCATTAAACCATCTCCACCAACATCCATAAACTGTGAGGGTTCATCATCGCTTAAATGTATTTGTTGAGTTATAAGTGGAGTTTGAGAATTTTCAGATTTTGCCCACTCTCCAGTTGCATGTCCAAGACCACATACTATCTTCAACTCTACATAATTTGCAATTGCAATATTTAAATAAGCAGCATCCTTGGGAAAAGCCTGTAAGGAATAACAAATAAGTTGTTAGCACCTACATATCAATTAAATTGATATGCTTAAAGTAATACCTGAATATGTGATGCATACTCTTCTTGACCCATAACTATCATTTTCTTTATTTCATCCCAAGATACACCTGATTTTCATTTTAACTCCTGAATGTGACTCCACACACTTCTTTGATGCCTTATTTGATTCTTGCATTACTGACCTATCACCTATATTCCAAACTTCTCTTTCATTTTATGGGATGCACCTTGATACAAAGAGTCATTGAATCCATGTACAATTCGCATATTTGCATTTACATATTCCATCATTATTTGAAGTAATCCAGTTACCCACTCAGGTTTTAAGCTCCATAAAAAATTGTTCCTTTTTGCCTTCGAATTACCGTTTATCTTTATTTGTGACGAATTCATTCTCCCTTACAGAAAATATGATAAATACATGTAAGTCCTTGTTTAATTTCTTACATGATTAAAGAAATAATTAATAATATAATTTTTTTTGCCATAAACCCATATCTTTTTGCTTTAGTCATAATAAAAGTGAATCACAAAATCAAAAATTTATTTATTGGATATAAAAACAGCATACAATCATAAGAAACTATTGTGAGGTGCATAATTATGAAAGTTTTAAATTCACTATTAACCATCTAAACAAATCTAATATAAAGCATTAAGTAGATGGTCTGAATGTAGCAATAATAGAAACCACATATATCAATATAATCAATAGAAGATTCTCATCATGGTACAAGAGAGTAGTAGAGCATAACCACATATATCAATATAATCAATAAAAACAACATTTTGCATGCGAGTCAGTAGTAGAACTTAGTAAATTACTTGTAAATTAAAAAAAAATGAAATAAAAAATCTAATATCCATCATTTTGCATGCAAGTCCACATGAATTAAGCAATTTCATCTCTTTTATCTAGCCATTCTCGTGAATCATCTACATCTGCTTGCTCTCCTCTTCTACAGTGGCTTCTTCTAGCCTATTCACCCTCGGATTGAATGAATTCATCGTCACCTTCTGTAACTATCCAATTATGCAGTATGCAACAGATAATCATAATATCAACTTAAGTTTGTAGAGAAAAGTAGGGTTCACATTTTATAATTATGAAACGATTTTTCAAGGAACTAAATGCAGGCTCAACAGTTGTGCGTAATGAGCAATGTCATAGATTAAAAAGCTCCTTTGAATTTGTAGGTTGAATAGAAATGAACTCCTTCAAGTAATATATTGTGGCACAATATGGCGAAATAAAACCATTGCGTGTGGAGTAACCACCATCAGCCAGATAATATTTACCTGTTGGTACACATAAACCATCTGATCTTTTTAATGCATTTTTAAGTACTACTACGTCATGAGAAGAACCTTTCCAACCAACAAGCATGTATGTGAACCTCAAATCAAAATCTACTGTTGGTAAAACATTTTGTGTTGGATATGATTTCCTTCCTCTAAATGCGGCTTCGTTCTCTTTTGGAACTCTAGCTTTAATATGAGTTACATCTATAGCACCAATACAATCCTAAATTTAACTCAAAGTATATTTAGGATTCTGTAATAAACAGAGAGATTTTCATTGAATAAAAATTGAGTATACCTTGAAAAATGGCATAAACCTATTACTTGATTTAATCTTATATGGAGTTTCAGGTGGTGTAGGCTTGATAAACTCATTGCGTAACTCCCCAATAGCATATAATGCAGATTTGAAGTACCTACTAACAGTTTCTCCAGAGCGATGAAAGTTAAATCGGATGACTCGGTTACGAACACTATGTCCGAGTGTATGTAATAACATAGCAACTTGTTCCTCGATCCACACAGTTATTATGTCTAACAACAATCCTCATGTACACATTAAATCACATAATTTGAAAAAAATGTGCTTGCCTCATGCGTACCATTTCAATACAGTCAGAATCACATCCATTATATATCCTAGAAAGATGTGTCACGTTGTATATTCCATTGAGGATCATATTTTTTTTTTCCTTTGCTAATCTGCTACAATAGTACACATAATGTACTAATTGCAATACAAATAACTTTCAACACATCATTATATTTTTGAATCTCATGTAGTTCAGCAATATTTTCTAATGGATTAACCATCTTTGTAACTATAACATCAAACTTCAAGCAAAAAAAAATCAATGAGCAATAATTCATGAAATAAAATGAGTAAAAAATAAAATCATTATATTTTTGAATCTCAAGTTTGTTTTTTAATAAAATCGGATTGGTACTTGGTACAATGTTCTTAATATTAATGCAAGTAAGACGGAACGTTTGGAAACCTCAAAATAGCTGATATTTCAAATTTAGCCAATAAAAATATTTAATTTAAATTACTTTGGTTTTTCTTTCATAAATAGATAGTCAGACCTAAAGCTAATTCAATTTTTTGGCTTTTCTTTCACATAACAACATTTAACAATTTTTTTCCTGCTCAAAATATATATATAAAGTTTTGACTAGTAACTTGGAGAGTTGGAGTAGACACAGCTCAGATTTAAAGCATATTATAAAACAAGCACATGATGCTCACAAGTTAAAAATGTAGATTTAGTAATGATGATTTCTTGGTGTGAGAGAAGAAAAAAATTATTGGGTAAATCATCACCAGTAGTTCAGTACCATATCCCTACTTGTTTAGGTAAGCTTTATTGATCCTTATATAAAACTTTCTTCTGAAATAAGTAGCATTTGATAGGATTCTAGCTTATATAAAACACTTTTGAACAGCTTCTAATTATGTTAACTTTGAACAATCACTATTCTCTACTATCAGTTAACATTTATTATATCCCAAAAATCTCACTTATTGTACTGTAAAATCCCCTATTTTTGTTAACTAGAAAAAAATACCATTACACATGCCATAGCTGTAACATATC